GTAACCGTAACCGTATTATCAGTGTTCTCAATCGGAATCTAAAGGTTACGAGATACTGAACTCGATATATAGGAGTGTGTCGAACCATTGTCCAGTAATGGAAAGTATGGAATAGAATAAATAATAAATGTACCTACAATAACCTCAGGCTCATCTCTATCATCCCGACGTCTGGTGGCATAAATCAAAGCTGGTTGTCTAGCCTCTGAAACTGCAGGCTCTCGACTCTACTAGGGTCGAGCTCTACTATCGGCTCTGGATGCTAATCCATAAGGCTTTCCCTGATTACGACCTCTAGTTGGGGTCTGTACTGAAGTCTGAGAACGCACAGGAGTCTGGGTAGCGGTCCGCTCTGACGAAGCTAACTGTGGACAATCCCTCCGAAAATGATCATTGGATCCACACTGATAGCATACCCTCATTTTCTTACGATACTCTCCTATGTGTCGTTTACCACAATACTCACAAAGGGGTCCATGAGGCCACAATAAAGAACCACCTCGACTGACAACTGAGGGTAAATATGGTGTAGGCCTAAAACTGGTATTGCTTCTCAAAGGACCCGAAGTACGAGTCTTCTTTTCAGGACGCGCAGAGAACTCGTTTGGGCCAGAAAATCTCCCAGGCCGCTCTCGATCAACACGGTCTCTTGCTGGAGCCAAGGTCTCTACCTTCTCAGCATCCTTCGCTCTGCCTACCAGCACATCAAAAATCTCATCCTGATGGGTCACAACCTGCCTACACAGCTCGTATTTGAGTCCAAGGGTAAATTTACGACATCGATCTCTCTCGGTAGGTACCATACTGACTCCATACTTTAGCAACTTCAAGAATTCGATCTCATACTCAGAAACGATCATGTCTCCCTGAACCAGGTCCTGGAACTGCTGTCGTCTCTGAACTAAATAGCGCTCTCCCAGAAAACTGCTCCGAAAGCGCTCCTTAAAGAAACCCCAGGTCAAACGATCAGCCAAAACACTATTGACCACTGACTCCCACAAGGTGTGGGCATTGCCATCTAACATCACAGCTGTACCCAGATATCTCTTAGTTGGGTCCAAACCCAACTGATCCATGCGTCTCTCAGTATCCTGGAGCCAATCTTCAGCTTCAGTAGGAGCTCCACCAATCTGTCCCCCAAAAGTTCTAACTCCATTGGCGATCAAAGTCTGTGAAATAAGCACATCAGATACAACACCAGCAGCTCTTACCGCTCCCTGTATCAACTGCAGAAATTGTCTGCCAAAATTCTCATCCAAAGCAACTTCGGTAGACTCAAACTCAATATCGGTCGCTCCTATGATCGGTGTAGTCATGCTAGTAGCAGCAGTATGAGGCAAATTCGTCGGGGTCGTAGGAGCAGAATCATCTGTCGGAGGTGGGGGATCTACTCGAATCTCATCGATTGGGTCCGCAGATCTAGCCATTCGACCTCGTCCACGTCTAGCACTCATTTTGGTAGATATCTAGTTTACTACAGAAGGTAAAACTTAGGGTTAGATAAGCACTTGAAGTCTCAAACACAATTAAAATCATAAAAACTTTGAGACATGGCCTTAGCAACAGGTTTTGTAAAATATTTCAAAACCGTACTTTCAAGTTAGACTCATACACAGTCCGAGGTTTAAAAACCAAAAGCTCTTATACCAATTAAATGTAACCCCCTAGACCCAGCCTATGCGTTTCGACTAAGTATAGCGGATCACATCCATGATTTTTAAACCCTTATTCGATCAATGTAAAATCACATTATAAATACATTTATAAAAGGATATAATAAATTACGATAAAACCTAACTCATGAATATAAAACTAAATAGTTAAAAATTTAATTTTTAAAACATGTCGTAGAATTTGGATCACTATAAACCAATTATCAATAGCTGAATAATATTCATTTCTGAAACAAATACTTCAAATAAAGGCTCATGTTACAAAAATAAAGTCAATTTGAAATATAAAAGCATTACAAATAGATGTACTTCAAGCTATATGTTGATTCTCCAAGTGCTCGATCTGGGGTATCTAACCAACAGTATCTGAAAGGGGAAAAACATTTTCGAAAAGTGAGCTAGGCTCAGTGTGTCCCAATAGTACAATAAAATCATAGCAGGTACAATAACCGAGTAATAGTTCAGTAAATCATCATAAAATCATAATGAAGTTTAACTTTTGAAACTCGTAGTTTAAATCCCTTCTCCTGTACACCAACCGCAGTTCCCCAGAACTGCGTCCTTAGGGCTACCTTAAGCACACAGCAAAAAGGAAGCCTACCTAAGGATAAGCTTTTGGGCCTGTATCCTTAGGTCCATAGGGCTTACTCTAAGCACACAGCAAAGAGGGCCAACCTAATAGAGTATCTTGGGGCTCGTGAGCCTACCCAAGAGTCCATTAAGTCCTTAAGGTTTACCAGCTTGATCAGAGCTATACCTCCGTAATTCAATCTAACCCAAAATCAGTATTTCAAAAATATTATTTATGCAGTAAGCATAATTTCCATAAATCAGTAAACATCGTTATCATATATTAATGAAAACCAATAGTCATATATCAGTCATTGTCCATAAACCATCAATAAACAATAAATCATAGCTTTCAATGTATCATATTTCAAAACAGATAAAACAATTAAATAATACTTAGGAACACACCACGATAATAGGATCAAACTGTAGATCTACTGAGTACTGGCCTCGCCACGCTCTGCTACAGTTTTCGAACCTAATTCATAATAACACTACATTACTAGAGGGTAACATAATCAATTTCTGAAATTATAAACGGGTGAATACTGGCACTCGTGGTTTAACTGATCTAGAAGAGCTGGGTCGAGCTGTCGAACGATCCGGAGAGTCTCTTGTACCTTCAAACAATAATAATTTATTAACCCCCAAGTCTTACTTAATTGTTCAAAGCTAAATTCTTAAGTATATAAGCATTTTTCGGGTTTGACTATCAATTTGGAGGATTTCGAGTCTGAATTTGACCAAACGGATTGCGGAATCGGAGTCAGGACGTCGAAAAACATAAAGTATGACTTTTCAAAAATTCAAATTCTTGGTCAAAATCAAAGTCAACGGGTTTGACTAATGATTTGGAGGCCTTTGGGTTCGAATTTGGTGAAACGGACTTCGGAAACGGATTCGGCACGTCGAAAAATGTCAAAATAGGTATACTTGAACAAAATCAAAGGTTGTTTAATGGCCGTTTAAAGCGGGACAAAGTTATGGTCAAAGGGGTTCAATAGTCCATATTCGAAAATTCCCAAAATGTTACATTTTTCAAAATAATTCCCAGCATGTTACCTTTTTCAAAATATTTCCCAGAATGTCACCTTTCTCAAAATATTTCCCAGAATGTCACATTTTTCATAAAAAATTTTCAGAATGTCACTGGGTCGGGTCGGTCAACGGGTCGGGTCGGGTCGGTCAACGGTTCGGGTCAAACCGGTTCAGACCGGTCAAGCCGGTCAACCAATTAACACCCAGTTCGAATCTTCCCCACGCGCAGGGGCAGCGCGTGGGGAAGCGTGAGACCGCTTCCGGCCTCCAAAAATTTTTGCAAAAATTTCCAAAATTTCTTTTAAGCGATTTTGAGTCACTTACCAACCTCGGTTTAAATTTTTGAACGGTGGAGAGCTCGAATTTCACTTCGATCGGAACTTTGACCGCTCCACCTCCCACACGCACCGCCGCCTACGGAGACAAGGACGACACCGTCGGACTCGGAACGACAACAGAAACACGATGGTGCGGGAGGTGTCGAAAACTGATCAACGATCGGAGATGAATTTAATATTTTCCCGACGGTGGTGCTAAAAACAATCGAGACTTTGACTCAAAATTTACGTCGTTTGGCAGCGCTTCGATATAATTGGTTTGCTGGGTTTTGATCACGGGTCGACGATGAACACGATGGTGGTTTCAATTTTTCGATTGGAAGTCGGACGACGTCGGAATTGAGCTTGAAAGTAGAGGTACGAGAGGAAGAAATTTTAAGCAAATAAAGCATGTGTTTTCTGATTTCAATCAGAAAACATGCTTATAATACAAGCCTGCCGACACTCTTTGGTGGAATTCAGGGTTTGGTCCCTGAATTTTCTTCAACTTCTAAAATGGCCTATAAGTTTTCATAAATTTTAATTTAGCCACTAAATTTCACCAAAATTACACCGATTTAATAATTTTTTTTCGGGTTGTTACACAATTTGTCCCGGGATTATTTCTTCGGAGGTGGCAAACGATGTACGGTTTATTTGATTTATACAGCTGGGCACTCTTTTCTCCTCGTAGGCTCAACACCTTGTGTTGATTAGGAGGGGTTTTTAATAAAGTCCGTTTTCCTTTAAAAAACAAAAATAGCCGAAGGCTCAACAAAGGTACGCTCTATAGTTGGAGACCATTTTATAACTTGTAACAATTGAGGGACTCAACAAAATAATATCATATAGTCAGAGTACTTTACCCTATTTTTAATTTACTCAAGATTCAATATGCATGATTGGGATGAATAAAATATGAAATATAATTATTGGATTGTTAAAATATTAATCGTAAATATTGTTATCCATGTGTGTAAAACTGAAGATGAATTCGTGGATCCCTCCTTTCTATATGTAGTGAAAAATGGGCTGCTTTTTTCTCCATACTCTCCGATCACTAACGTGTACTATGCTTGCCATAGTTTGAGAACATTGGTGCCTCTAATTCTTCAATCAGTTATAGTTTTGGTTCCTAATTTTATAGATGGTTATATATTTGCTTCATTATATTTCACAGATACCTCTTGTCGCTGAACGAAAAGTTTGGGGCTGCTGTCTTTGCATCGTTGTTCCAGTCACTGCTTTGCTTTCTATGATTTACCTCTCAGGGAGTTTATATGTAGAACCAGAAGCTAGGGAGGTATGTTTGCCATTTTTGGTCCTACATAACATGACTCTGCTTCTGCTATTTAACTTTCTATATGTAATGTGACCGTGTGGCGGGTCTATTGTTATGAGAATGACGATTGCACAGCTTAATATTCATGGATTCCCTTCTGGTTCCTTCTTTTATCAGCATATAGTTGAAGATGCTATCGATTTACTTTGTGAAAAAAAATTCTCCATAGGTGTAAGTTCGAAATTCCTAGGCCGCTTTTATCTCCAATTAACCTAAAAGCTTGACTATGAGTTTTCCTTTTGGAAGTTGATGCATAAATCGAATGGAGAGTGCTATGTTGGTTGGATATCTGTAATGAAAGTTTTTCTGTTTGTGCAGAGAGCATTCACAAGGAGAGTGGCTGATGTTTTGAAAAGCTCAAATGTTCGAAAGTTGTCCTCTGGGATGAGGACCTTGGAGTTGAACATTTTCACCCCAAAGAGTACGTTGAATGCAATTATCTGTATAGATACCGTGTTGTAAACTTGCTACTCATTTCTGTTACTTGGAAAAATGAAATCCTATCATAATTCAAGTAGAAAATTTTGCTAATAAATGTATGTTGCATGGTAAATTTATGAAAGATGCAGTTAAATAACTCGGGTTCTCAGGCATGCGCAAACGTGGAAATTTACGATGGCTTTTGTTGAACAATTCCTCTATTAGTAGTGTAGTGGTGATAGGCTGATAGCCATAGACTAGTCTTGGTGATACCCTGCCTATTTGTTTTTGGTTCAATCGAATGACTGTGGAGCCTGATAGAGATGATTTGGTTAAACTTGTTACCTAGAGTTGAAATTGCCTGACAGTTTGTGTTTGGATGTTCGGTCTTTGCTCTTCTAGTTGGAGCTCAAAGTACAGTGTTATGGATCTCACATAGCTACATCCTATATAATTTCTACTGATAATCTATTTTCTAGAGACTCAAAGGTTAACTTAATCGGATAACTCAGGTATGTGTCGATTATTGAGCATGAAGGGCTGGAGATATCGCAGCCTGCACTCGATCGTTCTAAATCAGAGTTACATCACCAAATTACTGCACGTGAAAGGAAGTCAATAGTGCACAGGTTCTTGTAGTAATTTGTTTCGTGAAATCTCTTCTGAAGGCTACTTGTGCTATACATTGCATATTCTGAATACATTCGTTTAATACCTACCTAGTTTATTGAAAATTTTCACCTAATTTGCTTCATTGTGTATGGTTTCTCGTTGTAGGAGAACTTTCAAACAACAAGTAAATGGGAAGCGTTGTGATGGCCATAGTAAAGACCCTCCATGCACAGGGTAAAATACCAGTGAAATTTCTAAATATTTTTCAGTGGAAAATATCAATTATTCTTCATAAAAGAACAGTGTTTTCTTTTCTATTTTTATGCAACTGGATGAAATTAACTAGTTAGAAACCTCTGCTTGATGTTGGTTTTGATTGACAAGAGAATGTTACAGGTGGATAGAGATGATGGCCCCTGTTTTCTCGAGAGCTGCCTGGCGTTGTGTATGGTACATGATTCAGGTTTGCCTTTAACACTTGAGGATTTATTATTGCCTATTTTCCTTCTTGTTTAGGTGGGACACTTATAGTTCAATAGCTATATATGTTTTCTATCATATTGTTTAATGCTAAATACAAGATAATACATGTATGATATGGAGCTAAATTTAAGTGAAACATGATTCTTGGATTAATTTAATGATTGATGAGAAGCTAGCCTGCTTTTTTTTGTCGAGAGCTTTCTATATTCTACTGTATTTTTCGTGCTCGAGTTCTGCATGCACCATTGAATATCCCTTGGTCTTGTTATTTAAAGGTCTATAAATCTGAGACATCTGTTTTTTCGGTTTTTATGTCACATCCTTGGCTGACTGTTATATTCTTTTATTTAAACATCTATTTCCCAGAATGACTTGATCCATGCCTGGGACTCGATATGCAACTTGGTTATTGCGCACAGGCAAGCTGCTTCAAGTGCTTCTATGTCTTATTTTGCGTAGCCGAAACAATGTTGCTTAACCTGTTCTTAAATAGGGTGATCGAACCAGCAATATTGGTATTGTGGATTCCGAGTATGTAGTCCACCACAATCGTCCTTCCCTAGGGGTTGTCAATGCGAAAAATCACTCTAATGTTGACGGCCGACGGCCAGACAAGGTTAGAAATTTAAAATCTATATCAACAAGATGCTAAAAGAATGCTGCTTGACCTGCTTTTTAATATGGTAATCGAATCAACGGTATTGTTGTGAATGCTGCCTACTTACTCTGCCACTATCCGATGCTATCAGACGCGGTCGGAAAGAATCACTCTACTCTTAAAGGAGGACATCAAAAGAAGGTTAAAAATTTAAAATCTATGTCGATAAGATGTGAATGGTACATTATTTTCTGTATTTAATCAGTTTTCATACTCGAGAAATGGCCATCCATTTTCTTTCTTAATCCATTTGTGGTGCACTTGGATACTTTATCTTGGCTAACCATATGGTCTGTTTTTGTACTGCAGAAATCTCATCATCCACAGTCCAAAGAACCTAGAGTAGAAGATGTTGCCTTCCTTAGCACGGAAAACTTACCTTCTTTCTCAACTTTATCAATGTTTCTATTCATTCGATTCGTAATTGTAACTTAGATTCATCGTCGTATTCTAAATCTAGAACCGCCTGGTGTTTATAACAAATGCTCTGCCTGTATAAGTCCTATCATGCTATCTAGGGGTGACAGGGTGTAGATATAGTGGGAGGAGAACTTATTTGGCCCCTTGTTGATTATCTTCCATAAATAGAAGTTGAAAGCTTTAAATATTATAAGATGACACAAGACTTGAACATCTAGGAAACATGTTTATTTCTAGGCATTGGCTAACTTGCCAATCATTTAGAGTTCGAATACACCGGTTATACTTTTCGTATTATGATTTCGATCTGTATAGATAAGGAGGCAGTCCTTTGTTGAGTTGTATCTTTTCAGACGAAGATGGGAACATGCTGTCGAGAACGATAAGTGCTGGGTCGATCCGTATCACTAGCTAACGAATATCGCCTACGCTCTCCGGTTCAGATCGACTCGGGTAAAGCTGTGTAAAATATTATACACCATTGTGCATAATAGTCATAGATGTTGCTGTGTAGAAGAGAGTGAGCTGAGTTCGGTTACTGCTCTGGTTCATTTGTTTATATTTTGGGTAAATTACACGTTTAGTACGTAAACTATAACGTTTGTTTCGTTTTGGTACCTAAACTTTATATTTTCAAAATCATATCCAATGTTTAGTTTAAGTTTCATTTTGGTAGTTTACTATTAAAAACTTAACGGTGATGCCACGTCATCATTGAAAAAAAAATAGTTTTTAACGACGGTATACCAAAATTAAACCAAAATTAAACATTAGGTATGATTTAAAAAAATTTAAGTAATAAAACAGGACAAAAGTAATAGTTTAAATATTAAACATATAGTTTACATTTATATTTAATAAAGTCTTGGATTACATTGTTTTATTATTTAGTGCAATGAAGAAAATAATAAGAGCCTTCTTAACTTTTCCTCCCTCAATATCTTTGAATTGACTACTTCGTTGGTACGAAACTTCAACCTTATTTCTACTAAATATACCGCTTCAATGATAAATGTGTCGGCTTTGAATGAAGATCTTTGCTCATTTTTAAATTTATTTGTGTTCGGTTAGAAGAGTATTTGCTAAAAATATTTCCAGGTAGACTACATACATGACAATTATTTATGGGAAGATTTTAATTACACATTTAATCTTAAATACTTATGCATTATATTAATTTGGTCTTAATTTTCATTTAGTTCAATAATTTAATCCTCAAATCTCAGGATGACATGTATTACCATTTCATTAGAGTTTTTTTTTAATTTTAATTTATTTAAATAGTAAATTTTGTATCCAATCAGATGGTGATATATGTCACTATCTAGTCAACATTTGGTTGGATGAAAAATAAATTATAAAAAAGGTGTTGGAGGGAGGGATCAAATTGTCATCATTCGGTTGCATGAAAAAAAAAATTAAATAAATTAAAATTATGAAGAAAAAACTCTTCAATCAAATGGTGACCCGAGTCACCATATGATTAGAAGATTAAATTAATTTAAAATCATATTCAAATTGATATAATGCATAAGTATTGAAGACTAAATGTATAATTATATTAATTTTTTTAACTACCGGGTCAACTCTTTCATCAAATGTTAATGATATGTGGCTTGATTGACATTGTTTAAATAGTTAAATGATTTGATTGATAAAATTAAAAAATTTCTATAATTAAATAATTATGAGTATAATTTACTCGATATTTTATTTATATTTAATTATTTTAATGTCATATATATTATGCTATCAAAACAAAGCATACCACATCTTATTCACCATCACATGTGTTGAAATGTCACTCCTAAGGATGGTTATAAATTAAAGGTGCAAAGTATTTTATGTATTTAATTTACTCGTCACAACAACGGTACGTATAAAACATGTCCATCACCTTGGAACACTCGGGGCAAACCATGATGCCAGGGACCCCACCCAGAACCGGCAAATGAACTTTGATGCAGCCATGGACATCGCTCGATATCACCCCTTTGTAATGCTTCAAACCTTCCAGGAACCGGAGCCCTGTCGTGTCTTGTCTCCATTTCTGGTAGTTCGACATTATGGCTAGACCCGTTCCGCCGTCGGTCGTCACCATTGTGTCAGGTCCCATTGAGAAAATGGCCCACGCTTCACCTTTTACGCCATGGCCTACTACTTTCAGGGCTTCCTGGATCACTATGTCAGTTTTGTAATTGGTGACTGTCTTCCCGTGTCGGATTTTGGAGTACAATATGCTCTCGAGTCGGGTCCAGAATCGCCATCGGAATTCGGATTCAATGAGGTTGATGTCTCGACCGAGGTCAGTCTTGGATAGCCCCAACTTGGCTTTGTTATTTCCCACGTATACTAGTTTTAAACAAACGCCGGCGGCGTACGCGGCGTATTTGACTTTCTCGGTAAATTCTTGAATCCAAGAAATGTCTCCGCCTCCGAACAAGCAAACAAACGACGTACGATTCTCTACCTGATAAACAGTGACGAATTCATAAATATTTCTTTAGGTCAACGCATATATATATATATAATCACAAAAATTTTATACCGGGCAGGCACAATCAACATAATAAATCGCTAATCGAAGGAAATTCAGATTTTAAAGTGTACAACATATAGTTACTCTAACATAATGGTGCATTCTTCACTACTAATGAATCAATTATTTCGAATGATAAAAGAACCCAATTATTATATTAAAATTCGAAAGATTCATATCATATAATGTACGTACCAATGAACGTATGTCCGGAACGATGAACTCATCAAGCAACAAATCAAGCTTCCAACCTTTACGTTCGTCAATGGAATTCCATAGAATTTGTTCAGCTTTGTCACTAAAAGGGAAAGCCATGTTGCCCCATACCCACAACATAGGCAGAGCATTTTGGCATAGGACTTCCCCGGCTGGAGTCACCGACACTGCAATCGCCTGCCTTATGAAATTCCACTCTCTCTTCACAGACTCGACCACGTCGGCTTCGATCCTCGACGGCTCCACCGCCACATTCCATTTCATCAACTGTTTAAGCTCCCAAAACCTTTTCACATCATACGTCGACAAGTCGACAATGGGGAGCCAAACAATCTCGTACATTCGATCGGTTCTCTGGTACAACCAGTTAAGCACCTTGATCTCTTCGACGGAGATGTCGAGATCCGATATGAGAAACAGAACATGCTTGTTCCTTAAATATTCGTTCACTTGAATCCTAATGTAATGCATGATTTTATCGACGAGTTCAGAAATGCTGATTCTAGGAATAAGTTTGGTAATGTCTTCGAGTGGGTACGGTGTGTACTTTTCTGCATGATATCAGCATTGATTGTCAAAAAAACCGTTGAATGTAATTTTAAATTCTTATATATTTTAGATATTTTTAATTTTAGAGTTAATTATATTACATTATATTATATGTTTTTAAACTATGATTCTTATTTTAAATTGATTCATAAATTCTTTAACATTCTAATTTCATCCTCAAACTACGACTCATTTTAAATTGGTCCTGCACTTTTGAAAATTCCAAATTCACCCCCAATCTATGGCTCTTCTTCTATAAGGATCCCCAAAGTTTTGAATAATTGTGGGAAGGTAATCGGAATATTCAAAAGTTTGGAGATTAATTTAGAATGATAGTCCTAGTTTGGGGATGAATTTGGAATTTTCAAGTAGCTTAGGGATGAAATTAAAATAGTCAGAAGCTTAAAAATCAATTTAGAATGAAGGTCCTAGTTTGAGGGTGTATGGTGTAATTATCTCTATTTTCTATTGATAATCTATTTCCCTCCTATATAATTTTATAAGTTGGCTCCTTAAAACATAATGATTTCTCTCCTAGCATAAAATCTTATGTTCGATTCTGATCATGTGTATAAAATTCAAAAATTAAAACGGATTATAGATATCTAAATTTATTAGTTTAAAAGAAAACTAAAATCATAACAATTACACAAAAGACTTACCAGCATCCCCCTGGCAAATCAGTAGCTTCTCTTGAAGGATATTATTTATGAGGGTAACCTCTTTAGCCAACTCAATCAATTCTTGGATTGTGGATTCCAAACTGTCCCTGCAAATCAGAACACAAAAGAAAAGGATAATCTTTTTTATAAATCAAGTTGAAAATGGTTAGAGTTTGGGTCTAATGCTTACTTTTTCTTGTTTAAAATGGTTATAATTCTCAAAACAATGCCGAGGATCTTGTAGGCGGCCATGGGAGAACAAGCCATGGCATCTTTGATGGAGTGAACCTCTTTCGGAATGCGAGAAATGGAAGGTGCCAGGAAGGCCACATTCGTGTTGACAACGTCGATCATGGCCTTGAGAAGTCCGATGCGTTCGAGCACCGTGACGTCTATGGTGCTGGAATGGTGGCCCTTGAGGGTCTCGACGTACTTGGCGATGGGGTCGGTGTTGCGGTGCTTCATGAGCATCGACAACTCGCCGATGCTGCAGGCGAAGGCTGCCATTGCCAGCACCACTTTGGCGTTCCATGCGTAGTCTCTTAGCCTCCGGAGCAGCTGCATTGTGGTTTCATCCACACCACTTCCTACTGATGCACAGCATGACATCTGCAGTTTTTGTTTTGTTGCAGTCAAAATAATCAAAATTTTCATTATTATAATAATGGGAAGAGGATTGAGGAAAGAAGAAAGAATGTACCTCACAGGAGATACTTCTGATGTCTTCCAATGCTTGACGCATGCCACTCACATTCTCCAGCCTGTTGATCATTTCGTTTAACTCTGCATATTGATCCCCACCCTACACCAAATATATACATATAAACCATTCATTTTCTAAGGGTCTGTTTAGAGGGTGAAAGTTTTCTCAAGACTTTATTAGCAGACATTTGATCATTTTCTAAGGGTCTTCTTCAAAATATATATGTAGGTATATAGAAAGATAAAGAGTTAGTACCTTGGAAGAAGTGGTGGCAGCGTTTTGGAAAACGCTAGTAATGAGGTTAACAAGATGTTGAAGATCAACTTGATGAGGGTGGAAGGAAGTATGGCAACTCAGTATCTGCTCCGACACTCCCGGCGGAACCCAAAGTACCTGAGTGCCACTGCCAATGCCAATGGTGGATGATGTTGCTGCTTCCATACCGATTAAGCTGTTTCAAACTCAAACTCAAAGTGGCAATTCTTAGCAACTCTCGAGGATGGACTCATTGTCCATTTAAAGCAGTGCATGAGACGTGAGTCACATTATCAGTAAAGCAGATTAAAGCATATTCTTTGTGTTAATTACAAGTTACTATGAACAAATGCTACCTGCCATGCATTAAAAAAAACCCTTAGACAACTTTATAAGTTATAGCCTACACTACACGTTTAGTACCCAAACAATTACTTTTGTTTTGTTTGGGTACCTAAACTTTATTTTTTTTCTTCAAAATCATACTAATGTTTAATTTAGGTTTCATTTTGGTATCCTGTAATTAAAAACTTTGCAATGACGTTGATGTGTCACTATAAGATAATGTCACATCATCATTGAAAAAAATAGCACATAACAGTTCTGTTAATTTTTTAACAGCAAGATACCAAATTAAAATATAAATTAAAATATAAATTAAACGTTATACATAATTTTTCAAAAAATAAAAAGTAGACATCAAAACGAAACAAAAGTAATTGTTTAAGTACTATTACCTTAAGTTATAATTGCTTTTGAAGACACTACTTTATCTTTTTCATTGTTGCAAATTCCTTTTGCCCTATGGTGTAACTGGTATGGAACTGCAAACTTGTTCATGAAAAAAGGGAACTCATGATTATATGCTTTTAAAAGGGTAGGTACCAAAAAAAGAGAGAGAAAAAAAGGCGATATGCATAATGCCAAAAGCATATGATTAAGTGAGCCCATTAAAGTTTTCTCTATGTTCGTTACTTGGAAATGAATCCTTCATCTTACTGGCGTGCAGGAAGATCTGGAGTAGTTTCCCCTTTTTGTGTGTGTGTGAAAGTTTAATCTAATTTATGTTAATTTTTTTAAAATTATATATTGGTATGTTGATTGGCTTATGTATTAATTTGGTTTAATATGTTATTAATAAGAATATTTTTTACTTTATCAAACTCAATTGAAAATTAACAAAAAGGGGAAGCTATAATAAAAAAAAATTGGGTAAAATAGATCAGAGACCATTGATCGATGCTTAAATGATCATTTTCATCTATAAATTTTTAAAAGTTATAAACTAATCATTAAATTTATAAAATGATTACAAAATGATCACTATGATATTATAATAATTGTAAAATTTGATAAATTTATTGATTGTTTTGCAATAGTTTGATAAAATTTAATGACTATTTTGTAACATTTGAAAGTTCTATGACTAAAACAAACATTTTAGTATAATTCAATGATTTTTATGTACTTTACCCAATTCTTTTACCATAATTCAATATGGTTAGTTGATATATCATATATCTCTTAAGGGATATATAAAACACCCTAAACTTGACCCGTTATAGATGATGAGCCTACAATGTTACATTAGGTCACCATAGCAATCACCGATTTTTAAAAAAAATCACATGATTTTGATAATTTCATATAGCCATAATCAAATAAGTAACAATTTACAGAATGTTTATATAAAATTGGAGCTCCGTAATGATTTAGTATAGATTAAAGTAACAAATATAAAACAGTTACATACCAAAACACAAAGTAAGGGTCCTATGAATACATATACCCTCTAAAATAAACCATCATTGCATTCTAAATAATGTTATTGAAAGTCCTGCAATGATGGTACTCCTTAGGAACAAACCCTAATCTACTAACCTATGAACAAAAATATTCGAACGTTGAGTTTTACAAGTCTAATGACACTCTTCTATTAAACTATACTTTGCGCAGTTCATAAATATAGGCCTACAAGACAAGTATAATCAAAGAGGCATGAGTTTATACTTGTGTTACCACCAAACCATAATTATCATGCATATCAACAATCATTTAAATGTTATTCGAGTATCATTGATCACCATTAAGTAAAACACGCTCATCATATTCTTTTTAGAATTCTCAAATTTATGTTATCTTTCATAATTCTAGTCCATCGCTAGGACTTATTCGCACAATCATATAAATCTCAACATATTATCTAATAATCACCTAACATAAGATAAATAAAAAACAATAGCACCTGGTGTCACCAAGCAACCGGCTAATAAATTGTGAAATTAATCAATAATAATGACTCTAGTATAACTAAGCACCATGTAATGAATCACTGTGAGCACCATATTTTAATTAAAACCCCACCACTATCCCATTTATTTTTATTTTCAAATCCCACTCCACTATCTCCAACATGCCCTGCAACGTGAAGCTGTCAAGCATCCCATGCCTCCACTCACCTGCTCCATACTTCATTGTTGCCCGCAACGCACAACACCCCTGCTAGTGTGCTTCCACTATCATTATTTCATTTTTCCTTTGTAATGGGTATTCAACCCACCCAAAAAGCAATGTAAAGGGGGAATTTTTTGGCAGAGAAATAAAACAGGAAAGGAAGATTACAATTTCTTTTGATCTATCAAACTTTTGAAGGTATTAAAAACACTTGTTTCATTTATTTGTTCTAGGCTATTTGGAAAAAAAAAAGAAATAAATAGAGATAGGGAGGGTTATACCTTACTACCGAGGTGTTCATCGGAGCATTAGGGTCACCGGGGAGGTGGCCTGAGTCGGTTTAGAGGGGGCTGCCGCCGTGGGTTGAAAGGAAGAGGAGAAGAGAGGAGTGCTGGGGATTTTGGTTCACCGTCGTGCAGAAGTGATTTTGTAAAAAGGGGTGATATGTTGATATATTAGAATTTTTGAGAAAATCACATTAAGATCCCTAGATCTTTAGCGTGTTTCACGTCCTGGCCACCAGTTTAGGGTTAAATCATCCTGTTAGTCCTTTCTGTTTAATAAGATCTGCGTGTTAGTCTTTTTTTAGGGTTAATCGTGCCTTAGGTCCCTTTAAGTTTAGTTTTTTTGTGATTTGGTCACCCTTTTTATGATTTATGAATTGGATACTGGGTTTTGCATTATTTTAATTTAGTCCTCTATTGTATGTATTATTTTTGTTCGAGATTGGCTACTGATGTTGATGTTTTTCTATTTTAGTCCTATATTTATGGTTTTATTATGATTATGGTGCTTCTATTTTGTTATTTTCTTGCTTCATGCCATCATATTTATTTTATTAATGTTTATGATCTCAAATTTACTTTACACTTATTTTTGTCACTATGTTACGAATAAATGCATATAGATATTGTTTTATGTTGTACCATTAAGTATGTTTTATGTATTACATATTTATTTTATGTATATTATTATACATATTACTTTATTATATATTTATATAATACTACATGTAATATATATTGTGTAAATGTTATATTTTACCTCTTAGTACATTTATAATAAATGTTATGTTCTATGCTAAAAATTATGAAAAAAATATATGTATAGATTTTATTAAGTAAAATAAAATTAAATGCTTTATTTTGCTATATTGCATTTTGGTCCTTATATTATGGTATGATTTTATTTTATTTAATCACTTATATTTTGTGTGATAATTATTTTTGGTCTTTTGCTTTTATTGTGTTTATATTTTACCATTATAGTTTAAACTTTCATCATATAGCATGATTAATATAATTTGGATTAATTGATTATTATGTTTTGGTCAAATCAAATTATTTTAATATTGAATTATTAGGAAAAATTATTATATTATTTTTATTTCAGTTGGAAAGAGAAATATTCGTCCTAAATCATTTTAGGGAGTATTTTCTCTTCAATTCGAAATATGGAAATATTTTCTATTTTTCGTTAGAATTTTTGTTCTATCAAATTATATGGTTGAACTCGGAATAATGGAATCGTGATTTAAATATGTATTCGAATTCTTAGATTTCTACTATTTAGAGACAATATATAATCGATAGGTACTAATTTTGGGGGTTATGGGGGTTCTTATCCTTCCCCACACATAATCGACCCCCGAACCCGTTTTATTATTAAAAAATGAATTGTTGATTACATGTGGATCGATAAATCTTTTAAATGACGTTTTCTTAAAAACTCTTTTAAAAGAAAAGTTTTAGGTATTCGACCTACCTAATCCAAAAGGTCGATGGCGACTCCAAAACATTCTAAAATCCTTTTCAAAGAAAACCCCAAGTCATACTAAAATTTTTTCCGCTCCCGGGCGGAAATCGGTTACGACAGCTTGGCGACTCCGCTGGAGACTCAGAGGGTCAAGCCTTAAATCGATTATATATTGTCTCTATAGTTAGAAATTGAGAATTCGGTTATATTTAATTTATGATTCCTTTGATTCCTTTCTATCATTATATTTTTGTATACTAATGTGTGCATTTGATTGATTTTCAGATATTAAAGTATTGGATTCTCTTTAGTTCGTTTTTGTGTGATTGTCTGTCAAAGGTTTGATAATTTCTCCTCACACTCGACACTTGCATTGCATAACATAAGCTCTATACCCGAGGTGTTCCTTTTAAGTGGGAATGAAAGCGACGTCTTCGTGAGAATTTATTCTCCGTGTCAGAGCTAGCAAGTAGCTTTCGAGGTTTATATACCCTATGTCTTCGTGAGGATTTATTCTCCGTGTCAGACATAGGGAAATGTGCCCCCTCAAATTGAACTCGATTCGCTTAAGCCTATGATAGGTGAGGATCGAGGGTTTGGCAGCCTAAGGGGCACCAACATCAAGGATAATTTGAGTACATTTTCCTCAAAGAGCCGAAACCATACATATAGTGAACCGTAGTATGGTCACCGTAGTATAGTCATACCGAACCTCTGTTCATCAGTAGGTACCAAAATTAAGTGTACACAAAGGAGGAGTGTTTCTGAACCTTTACCTTTTTTCTTTATGTTCGTAGAATATATTTTTTTCTTTTCGAATAACAGCATGTGAACTAGATACCATCCAGTTAGGATTATTTTTTGAAAAATTATTGTGGGTAGAAAGCATGTTTGGGTAGGAATGTCATATAATTAAATCATGTTCGGGTAGATATCATGACGGGGTAGGTGTTTTATTCATCTTTGAATAACAATTTTCTTTGTATTAATTATTTTACCTGTA